AAAGAAAAGAAAGCAGGAAAGAAAGAAAAGGAGAAACTAGTTCTCTGACCCTGAGCTGACAGGGCTGGGACCTGTCAATCTCCACAGCCCTACTGTTCATTAGGTCAGGGACTTAAGAGCAGAGCATGAATTGGACAGGCAGGGCTGGAACCTTGATTTGAACCAGAGCATGTTAAAGAAGAGATAGTAACTTGACAAGAGGCTGTGCTGAACAGTAGAGTCAGGGAGAAGCAGTGATCACTGTGTGCTGACTCCTCGGGTCAGGGTAAATGCTAAATACGCCTATGATGTTACTGAGAAGGGGCCCAGACAGCACTGGACTCAGCACCTGCAAAGCTAGGATGCAGAGGCCATGGCCAGTTTTCAGGGGGTATTACAGGCTGTTTAGGATTGAGCCCCACATCACTTCCTCAAGGAACTCAGGCTCCTGGGCACAGCCTGGGTTACTTATAATCCTCACAGCCTTCTGAAAGTAGGAAGTGAAATTTTAAAGATTTGCCAAGTCAGGTAAGTGGCCTTGAACTGGATTTCAACTATGGGGTGAGGGACCTTGGAAAGTGCTAGTTTCCGATGAAAAAGAGCCATGACTAAGTAGGAATGTGCTGTGCTGAATCTCAGACCATGAACTGTAAAGAGTGGGGAACCTTTAGTGAGGGCCTAGGCAGCTATGAGTCCTGAAAACAAGGTGGTATTTTCCTTAATAAGATGAAAGGCTCACTCAGCGTAAACATACATACATGCCTCTGTTCAAATAATTCCCTTTACCAACCAAAGGTCACTTCTGTTTCTCCATCTGTGGACATCCTAACTGTTCACCCCCCTGGACTTTCAGCTTCTGCTTCCACCTTCCTGTCAGCTGCTCCAGTCACAGTTTTCTGCTCCTTCATCTTCACCCCCAGCACCTCTACTGGACTTGTGCCTGCTAGCACAGTGATTATAGTGACTCCTGCAGGAGTGTGAAGGGTTCCTGGCATCTTGGAGAAGTTTCAGAGGCAGGGTTTCTCTGCTCCACACTCCTGCAGGATCCTCCTTTCCCAGCCTCATCTGATCTTGCTGATTAGGTGAAAGGAAACTTCTAGGAGAGACTAGAAGGAGAGAAAGGAGAGACACAACAACAGATGACCTTTGCTTTGCTGTAAAGAGGAGAGAAAATGGGACAAAGAGCAGTTTGGGTAGTGTAATATCATTTTGTTCATTTGTGGTGCTAGAGATTGACTGAGGCCTCACATGTGCAAGGCAGGCATTCTACCACGGAGCTACATCCCCAGATCTGAACAGGATACTTCTTAGGTGAGGGTGAGTTTGCAGCTGTTGGTAGAAGCCAGAAGTGCAGAAGAGCTAGCCTAAGGAAGGTGGGGAGGAGACTTGGGGCTGGTGTCCATGCACGAATTTCAGATGTAGCAAGAATGAGGCAAACAAGATAGTGTACAGTGTAAGAAATTCTGCAGTTTACTGGCAGTGCCTCTGCTTATTTGACCTTGAGCAAACGTGCCTCTAAATTTTCTGCTTAAACAAAACATGGAGGAGCAAGCCTGTACAGCACTCAGGATGTGAAAGGAAGAAGAGCATGGGTCTGAGGCCAGCCTGGGCTAATTGTGAGACCTTGTATTAAAAAATCCACATGGGGCACTAAAGAGAAAGCATAGTGGTTAAGAGCAGGGGCTGCTCTTCTGAACGACCTGGATTTGATTGCCAGCACCCATATGGTAACTCACAACCCTCTTTTACTCCAGTTCCAGGGGATCCAACGCCTTTTCCTGGCCTCTGAGGACACTGTACACACCTGGTGCACAGCTATGCATGCAGGAAAACATCCATACACATAAAATAAAATAAATATTTTTTAAAAACATACACACCTACATACCTATATATTCTCTTTAGAATAATAGAAAAGATGCCTTGTGGACATCTCAGAAATCATGAATGACACCCCTCCTATAATAATAGTCAAGAGACTATTAGTTCTTTGTTAAAGGCTGGGCTGGGATTCCTTCTACAAACTCATTGAGCATGATCACCTCAGGATTCCAATATCCTGGGGACACTCGGCAGCTATGGTCATGGTCCAAGCAGGCTCAGGTCACACTTCCACCCTCAGCAGACCTTCATGGTGGACGTATGACACTGGGACTATGCAAATTCAGAATGCCAATAGGAGTCTTGATAGCCTGGTGGATTTTAAAAAAGAGTGAAGCCAGGCAGAATTTTGCTGCAGGCTCAGAGTTCCTTTGGGATTCTCTCAATAGAGTAATGCCTAAATGGAGCCAAAATGGCTCCCTGGGACCCTATAAAAGTAGAGAAAACAGCAAAATGCCACCTAGGCTTGAAAAGTTGTAAAACCCAACACATAAGCCTATAAAAAGTGTCAACATATCCCAGCAAAGCAGTGGGCCTTTGAGTCATCCCTCATCACAGTGTACACGGGCTGGACTGGGAAACTTAGAGATGTCTTGGTGCTTCTGGGTTTCAGTCTTGCTTGGAATGATTCCTCTTTTCCGCTTGCCCAGTCCTCCTTCTGGGAATAGGAATTCACCTGGAGTCTTACAGGAAGCTCGGAGTCTAGCTGACCTGGAATTCAGCTACTGCAGTTCTTAGAGTGCAGTATCCTGCCAGGCTGGAGCTGGTGTTTGAACACCAGAGGGCGCCCTATCATCAGGCCTCTCGGAAGACGCTCCTTATTCTGCTCTGGGAGCAGCCAGAGCACACCTAACTCCAGAGCTAGCTGCAGACCAATTAGGGCGGGCCAAGTTAATTTTTACAAGGTAAAAGGTGCTATAAAAGGTAAGTCCTCTCTTGCTTTTCTCAGCGTCTTCCACTGTCAGTTATGAGAAATATGGGAACAATGGCACAAGCTGGGTCCAGTGTCCTAGTCTGGGTGGCCTGTCTACTCCTGGCATTTCCTGCCACCGGCACTGGTAAGACACACTCCCTGAACCTGTAAAGTGAGGGCTTCCGGCCCGGTAGAAAACCTGAGGAAGGAGAGGGCGAGAGTGAGGCAGTCAGAGTGGGCAGTCCTCTCAGGGAAGGGGTCCAGTAGGGAAGAAGGCAGGCGCTGTGCATCTTTCTGAGCAGGGGTCTTAGTGAGGAAATGAGGGGTTCTGATGGTGATGGTATTTATTTATTTTCTAGGGACTGAACCCAAGGCCTTAACATACTAGGCAAGCTCTGCCACTGAGCTATAGCCCCAGTCTTATCTTTATGTTTTAAAGAGACACAAGACTTATTTTAATCCGTCCTGGTAAGACAACCAAGAGTGTCATATAGGAAGCTTACTCACAGTTCCCTGAAAAATGGAGGTATGAATCACCCCATGAGGCCACACAGGGAAGCCACCAGAAGACAGAACAAGTAAGGGGAAACTGGGAGAGACTTCCTTCTTGTTTTCACAAGTGGGCAAGAAGAAGCAACATGGGCTAAGCGGACTTAAAGTAACCAGGCTCCAGATGTTAAGGCATCTGGACACAGAAAGTAACAAGGCTGACGATCATACCGTGTTTAGCATGTGAGTAACCTGAGGTTTCATTGGGCAGCAGGTCTGATTAAGCCTAGAGGTTACGACACAAGGTTTAAAAAAAAAAAAAAAAAGGAAGTCAGGGACACCGGTGGAGACAGGAGCCCTGTGTACTAACACACACTTGTAATCCTAGCACTGAGGGTAAAGGCAGGAGGATCAGGGGTTAAAAGTTAGCCACTATGTAGCAAATTCAAGGCCAGAATGAACTTTCTCAAAAATAAACAAATAGTAATCATGAAAACAACCACTTGCTGGAGAGCTCAGCCATGATGCTGTGCGGAGAGTACTCTGAATAGAACTCCACAACAGACACTGGAGAAACAAATGTTCCTTCGTTCTAAAAGTCCAGCCTTCATCCATCCCCTCATGGAGGCTGTAGACTCACCCAGTGACCCCTCTCTCCCCATCTCAGGACCCAAAGTCCCTCAGCCTGAAGTGGATACCCCCCTGGGTCGTGTGAGAGGCCGGCAGGTGGGTGTGAAGGGTACAGACCACCTGGTGAATGTCTTCCTGGGCATTCCGTTTGCTCAGGCACCTCTAGGGCCTCTGCGGTTCTCAGCCCCACTCCCACCACAGCCCTGGGAAGGTGTGAGAGATACCAGCACCAATCCCCCAATGTGAGTACCCCTGCAGGAGGTGGGCAAGAGGACAGGGTGGCGGCGACAGCTGGACACCAGGGTGTGTGGAGCTGACAGCTGGCCCTGGGATCCCCTTTGGCTGCAGGTGCCTGCAGGATGTAGAGAGAATGAGCAACGGCAGATTCACCCTCAACGAAAAGCTTCAGATCTACTCTATTTCTGAGGACTGCCTGATCCTCAACATCTACAGCCCCACTGAAGCCACTGCAGGGGCCAGACTGCCGGTATACAGTCCAGAGGACCCCCCCCATCCAGCTCTGCCATGCCATCTGCCCCTCTATACCCCCTTTTCCTTAGAATACCCTAGGCAGCTAGGTGGGTGACTGGAGTCCCAGAAGCTGGAGTCACTGATTCATAGCCATTTCTACAGGTCATGGTATGGATCCATGGGGGCTCTCTGGTAGTTGGTTCCGCCACCTCCCATGATGGATCAGCCCTGGCTGCCTATGGGAATGTTGTAGTAGTCACTGTCCAGTACCGCCTTGGGATCTTTGGCTTCCTCAGGTAAGATGGCCAGCCTGGAAGAGGACATTGTATCCCTGAGGAAGGCCTTCTCATAAGAATCTAAGGGTGGAGGGGTAGGGAAGGGTGTTCAGCCAGTAAAGTTTGCTTGCCATACAAACAAAGACATGAATTGGAGTCCCCAACATCCATATAAAAGCTAGGTATGACTGCATATGTCTGTAATCTCAGCACTAACTACTCAAGTAGAGATCCTGTTTCAAAAACTAAGAAGCAAAGCAGTTAAGCAAGATGCCTAATGTTGATGTTTGGCCTCCACGTGTGTACACGACAGGAATTCATATGTGCATGCACTACACACACACACACACACACACACACACACACACACACACACACAGAGCAGAGGGGAGAGGGAGAGAGAGAAGAGAGAACATCCCAGGGCTCCACAATGGGAAGGGGCCCAATCAAAGCCAGATCTGAACATTGAACTTGGGTAAAGGGTGGAGTTAGAGCCCTAGCAGGGAATGGGGACAAAGAGCAACAAACTCTATTACCCATCTGAGAGCCAGCTCTGACTGACTGCATTGCTACATCTGCCCACACCATATACTGGGAAAACAGGTGCCAGTGGTGAGTCATAGCCAAGGCAAGATCAGGGAGCAGAGGAGTGCCCAAGGCCCTGGTGAATGATTTCAAAGCAAATTTGCAGAGTGCAATAAAAAAATAATTATGTCTTGGGAACTATGTTGTGCTAATTACTGCCTTGCCCTGCCCCTAGCACCGGGGACAAGCACATGCCGGGCAACCGAGGCCTCCTAGATGTGGTAGCTGCTCTACGCTGGGTGCAGGGAAACATAGCCCCCTTTGGGGGTGATCCCAACTGTGTCACTATCTTCGGTAACTCTGCTGGTGGCATGATCGTCTCGTCCCTGGTGAGTTATCACAGAGAAGTAGCAACTGTGGCCAGGTCTGAGAGGGCTTCTGTGGCCCCAGACCTAGCTCTTCTGCCTGCTGACATCATCTGTTCTCTCTGCTGTTCCCAGGTCCTGTCTCCAATGTCTGCGGGGCTCTTCCACAGAGCCATATCCCAGAGTGGGGTTATCAACAGCAAGATACTGAAGGAGATGAACCCATGGCCTGAAGCTCAGGTCTGCCTTCCCTTCACTCTCTCATACTAAGTGTTGTGCCTCAAAACCTACTCTGTAGGTCAGGTTTGGAGAGGAAGGAATAACCACTACGGAGTTACCAATAGGCTCAGAGGTGATGACTACTGCAGTCCAGGAGGTAGACAGTCAGACATAGCTTTCTGGAGAAGGCCACCCCTAAGCAGGTTGTCTCCGGTCTTTCAGGGAGCATTTTTAGAGATCTCCCCTTTCCCCAAGGATCCTTTGGGAGCCTTCCATTCCCAGCCACACTGTTGTCTACGAGATTTGTCCCCTTGTAAAGAGTAGCCAGAAGAAGCCACCAAGAACTTCCATAATAGGAACTGTGCATGCAAAAACTTCAGGCATAAGACAAAGTGATGGGTCATAGAAGCAGGAAGCCATCAGATAGGGGCCAGGGCAAGAAGAGAATGTACTGAAGAAGTGGAGGGTAGTGCAGAGACCTGAAAGGCCATGCCTGAGAGTCTGGGCAGGATGCAAAGGGCTAGAAGAGGCAGGGAAACAAATCTAAGGCACATGGAGTGGAAGGTGGAATAGAGAGAGCAATCTGGAGATCCAAGGCCAGGGAGACGGTGAAGGTAGAGTCTAGGCAAGCTCTAGAGACACTGATGGGGTAAGCAACGAGAGGCTGGACCTATCATTAGTTCAGCTGGTCCTAGGCCCTGGCTGTGATGATGGAGGAAGCAATAACACTGGGTTTGAGGGATTATTCAGGAACCTCAGGACACGTTGCTTCTTGTCTGCCCAAGAGCAGCAGCATACCCCTAACCTGACTATAGAGGGGAGAGATTTTCTTACCACAAATTTCAGACCTCCTCTGTCTCTCTGGATGCCATCCCTCCAGCCTCCCAGCCCTGCTCCATACTGAACTAGAGTTACTGAACTAGAAAAGGACACAGTCTCAGACAGATGAAGGGTACACAGGAACAGGGCTCAGCCCCCATAAGCTGGTAGCAGGTCTCTCGGGCTAGCCTTGGATCAAGACAGTGACATCACAGCTCAGTACAGAGAGTAATGCTCGAGAGTTGAAGGGTGTGTGTCTGAGAGGCAACATTCTTCTGTCTGTCCTCAGACCTTTGCCAGCTCCTTGGCCTGCAGCTCCGTATCCTCGGCTGAGCTGGTGCAGTGTCTGCTGCAGAAGGAAGGAAGGGACCTTAACAAGCAGGTATGTCACCTCTTGGGGGATGATGACAGACAATGGCCAGAGGGGTCCTGTCCAGTTCCTGCCGAATCAGTAGGCTGGGTCCTGACAGTCGGTCTCCCGCCTTGCTTTTCCTACAGAAAAATGTGAACATTTCCTACATAATCAACGACTCCTTCTTCCCAAGAAGCCCAGAGAAGCTCCTAACGGAGAAGCAATTCCCCACTGTGCCCTACCTCCTGGGAGTCAACAACCATGAGTTTGGCTGGCTCATGCTCGAGGTGAGTGTCCTCTGGCACCTGTGCTCTTCAAGGCCCTGCCCAGACAGTCTTCTCCACATGGTCCCCACAGCAGCCATGCTCCAAGCATCCAGGCACTCTCATTTGGTAAGTGAGAAAGCTGAGGGTGAAGACCACTCGGCTTCATTTCACCAAGCAAATGCTCCCTGTGTTGAAGACCCAGCTTTTGCAAAGTGGTCTTCTGGGAAGTGCTAACCTACAGCGCATTCTTGATGGTGGCTGGCTGATATATGCTGTTCTGAGCAATGGGGGAGTGTGACTCTGCCTGAGAGGCTCACTGACTAAGACTCCCAGGTTTCCGACGGCACTCAGCCGCTGGGGACATGATGGGTCAGGTGCCTTCTAATCCAGTCTGTGTACACAGTGCCCGTAAGAGCGGCTCTGCCATGCTGTACTCCTGGACACCTGGCTTCACTCCGCTATTTTCACTTGTCTACTCATCTTCACAGAAACTTTTTTCTCTCTCCAGTGATGCTGAAGACCAAACACGGGTCTTCCCACATGCTAGCCAAGTACTCTGCCCCTGAACCTACCCCTTAAGCCATCAGTTGTTTTTGGTGGATGAAACCTCTCACAATGGAAAAGTCCATCGTGCCTCTTCACTTTGTGGGTTGAGCAGCTGCTATGGGCCACACCAGCTCACAGTGCACTGCTCTGTTCAGCTGACACCATGCTGTCAAAAAAGAAACAAAAGGCTTCTTGTCTTGACATCCCCCACTGAAAATCATTCCACCACAAAAATTGGCTTCTCTGTGCCAGGGCCTGGACACACATGAACTCAGTCCCACAAGGATCCTAGGAGGCAGATCGTTGACATTTTGTTCACAGATTAGAAAACTGAGGCACAAGAAGTTCAAGTAACTTCATGAACCTAGTAAGTGGTAGACCTGGTATTTGAACTCAAAAAGTCAGATGTCAGGTGCTATTAAAACTAGATCAGCTAAGCCAGGAACCAAGAATGCTCCTGTAATCCACTCAAGTGGTAGAGGTAGGAGTATCTCAAGTCTGAGACCAACCTGGGCTACATCATGAGCTCTTGTCTCAAAAACAAAATTACCTGTAAGATATAAAGCCAATATTTGATTTCATTGCCTGGGGTCTTTGTTTGTTTATTTCTTGTTTTGAAGCAGGGTCTCATCATGTAGTTCAGCTGTCCTAAACTCACTATGTAACCCAGGCTGACCTCAATCTTGAGGCAATCCACCTGCCTCAGCCTCTTAAGTGCTAGGATTAGACATGAGCCAACATACCAGGTAATGTGATATTTTTAACTAGTGCCCATGCCATTCTGAGGTGAACCATGAGGGACCCTAGCTCCATCCCCAGCACACCCATAGAAAAGCCAGGCATGGCACTGGATGCCCGTAATCCCAGTGCTGAGAAGGTGGAGGCAGGGGGATCCTGCAGCTCACTGCTCAGCCAGTCTAGCCAACCTGACCAACTCCAGGTTCTGTAAGAGACTCTGTCTCACAAAATAAGGTGGAAAGAGATTGAGAAAAACAACCAGCATCAACTTCTGACCTACACACACACACACACACACACAAACACACACACACACATGCACACATACATGTGCACACAAACACACATATGTGCACACAAATACATGTACACAGAGATACAAAAGAAGAACAATATTAAATAAATATTCTCCTCCCTGACGATACTGCCATGAGCCTCTGACAGACTTATGCAATGCCACTGTCCTAGGCATCTCCATTCTTAGCAATCAGAATTTTCTCAGCTATGTTTGTGCGCTTCTGGCTTTGACTACCCATGGCTCTATCATGAGTTTGTAAATGCTGGCCTAGGAATGCCCTCCTGCTCAGCCCTGAGGATGGAGGACAGCTATTGAGCTATACTGAGATAACCTTGATGTCTGTCCCCACAGGTCTGGAATATCCTGGATAAGTTGGAACATTTGAGCCAGGAGGAGCTGCTGGAGATTTCAAGGCCCTTCTTGGCCCTTATGGTAAGGTAAAAAGAAGGAGGGAGGGGCTGCTGGGCACCTCGTACAGCACTCTCTGATCCACTCCCAAAACCCAATTGATGAGTCTTAATTCCATTAAAATTAGAGACCAGGAGTGGTGACTCTGGACCATCATCCCAGCATTCAGGAAGTTGAGGCAGAAAAATTACAGAAAATTTAAGGCCACCCTATGGGTTGCAAAGTGAGTTCTAGGCTAGCCTGGACTACAGAGTGAGACTTTGTCTAAAAAAAAACATTAGTTTGAGATAATATGGTTCAAAGGTCATCCCCATGGAGACCACCCCTTCAGGAGCACACCCTACATACCCAGGACTGTGTCATGCCCAGCATACAGCTAGGCATCCATCTTCTTTGGTTCCCGTGGCAGCTCTGTGAAGCAGACACTGTCAGTACCCCTGTTGCACAGATAAGAAAAGTGACCCCGGAGCACAAATGTTCAGATCTCATTGTCAGGTATGGAGCTAGAGGGACCTGGGATCAGACAGATGCCAGCCCTGGTCACTGGTCCAGTTCTCCCGGTCTCTCTGAGGCCACAGCTCCACTTCTAATGGAGATGATGCTTCCTGCTCACCTGAGGTCTCCTGGGGAGACTGGGCACTGCACGTGAAGAGCTGACTAGATAGCCAGGCAGCACTTATGTGTACTCTCTTCTTTGGAAACCCCAGAGCCCTCTCCTTCATGCAGCCTCATTGCTGCCTTCTGGAATTATGAGGCACCCCCTTTTATTGCTTATTCCCGGTTAACTTCTACCTAGCATCTGCTCCCAGACCACACTCGGTGCTCAGACCTCGCATAGGCTTCCAAACAACTTACCAGACGCTGGCTTTCAGAGTAGTCCAGACTCCTGCTTGATGTGGGGCTGACAGTGGCCGCAGGGCTAACACTTAGCTCTACACTCGAGCTTATCCTACCCAGACACAATCTATTAATAAAACACCCAGGGAGACAGGGGGTGGATAGCTGTCCCCTGGAGCATGAGCCCCAGGATGTGAAAGGACCTACAGCAGAGGATGTGACCATCTGTGGGAGGTCTGCCAAAGCTGTGGGACCTGAACAGGCCTGAGCCTGACCTCTCACTCCAGGATATGCCCCCTGAGATTGTGTCCACCGTCATAGATGAATACCTAGACAATGGCTCAGACGGACCAGCTGCAAGGTATGCCTTCCAGGAACTGCTAGGTGATATCGTGTTTGTCATTCCTACCTTGAACTTCTCAAGACACCTCCAAGGTAAGCCAGCCCTTGCCATCTGCCCTGACTTCCCTGTACCATCACGGGTGATGAGGTAGCTGCTGATAGGTACAGAGTCCCCTCATGCCCTGCATCCTACACCTGCTGCCACCTCCAGGCCCTTTTTCTTTGAGATGCAGCATCACAGAAGTGGGTGCTACCTCTGGCAGAGTACTTTGCAGATGAAACAGAGGTTCGGAGAGCTAAGGTGACTTACCAAAGGTCCCCCAGCAGGGCTCATCACTAAGTCTTTCTTGGGGAATCATTCACTTGGTGAGAAACTTGGTTCTCTTTAAGTGCTTGTCCTGGGAGAAGTCTTGCTTCCCCCGAACCTGGCACAGTCCTGTAACAGCCCCGATTCTTAACCTTGTGACTTCAGGCAAGATTTAGAGGTTTTCTCTGGACTTCACTCTCATCACATGTAAAGTGAGAATATAGTGAAGGTTAGTCTAAACCAGTGGTTCTCAGCTTTCCTAAAGGTTTGCTCTTTAACACTGTTCCTCATGTTGTGATGACCCCCAACCACAAAATTATTTCGTTGCTACTTCTTAACTGTAATTTTGTTACTGTTATTAATTGTAGTGCAAATATCCGATATGCAGGATATCTGATATGTGGCCCCCAAAGGGTTTCGAACCACAGATTAAGAACCGCTGATCTAAAGATCATCCTGAGTGTGGAACAAATGATACAGCTCACAGAGGTATCAGGCAGGCAGGATGTGCTGACTTCCATCCCAGCACTTAGGAAGTGAAGACAGTAGGATCAGGGATTCAAGGTCATCTCTGGCTACATAGTAAGTCAGAGGAGAGCTCAGGAATGCCTGCTGTCTACCTCTGGTCTGCACCATGATGATGATGGTGGTGGTGGTGGTGGTGGTGGTGGCGGCGGCGGCGGCGGCGGCGGCGGCAGCAGCGATGATGATGATGATGATGATGATGATGATGATGATGACTGATGTCACTGCAAGCTTGTGCTGCCAGATGCCCTGATTTAACTGTGGGCACCTAACATGAATCCTGCCATCTCTGTAGATGCCGGGTGCCCTGTCTTCTTGTATGAGTTCCAGCATACACCCAGTTCTTTTGCAAAGTTCAAGCCAGCCTGGGTGAAGGCCGACCATGGGTCTGAGAGTCCCTTCGTTTTTGGAGGTCCTTTCCTCACAGATGAGAGCAACCTCCTGGGTAAGGACAGACAAACATTCAATCCCTAGGCTACGATGCTCCAAGGTGGTCTTTTGGGAACAGAGGTTTCGGTTTGTACCAGGGACCTTTGGGCATAGTCCAAGCCTCACCTGACCCTGATCCAGATCTGTCCCTCCTACCAGCCTTCCCAGAGGCCACAGAGGAAGAGAAGCAGCTAAGCCTGACCATGATGGCCCAATGGACCCAGTTTGCACACACAGGGTGAGTAGGCGGTAGCACATGCCAGGCTTGGGGCCTCATATCTGCCCCTACCCAGGGTATAGGATCAACCCTTGGTTCTCACTCGTTCCTCTCACCCAGGAACCCCAATGGCAAGGGGTTGCCTTCTTGGCCCCAGTTAAACCAGTTAGAACAATACTTGGAGATTGGCCTAAAACCACGGACTGGGGTGAACCTAAAGAAGAACCGGCTACAGTTCTGGTCAGAGACACTGCCCAGAAAAATCCAAGAGTGGCACCAACAGCAGAAGACCAGAAAATCTCCGGAGGAACTCTGAGGCAGAACCTACCTGGACTTTCCTGACTGGGGCCAACCCAAAGAGTAGTGGAGTCCCAGCAGGGTTTCTAGAAACTTTAACCTGGACCAGGCTGATGTGAGCACATGTTCCTTAAAGCATCAGCCACTGCAAGACAGGTGCAGTGCACTAGCGAAATGTCACCACACTGGTTTCTGCCTCTGGACCCTTGCACAAGCTCCTACTTCTTCCTGGGGTGTCTTGAATCCTTGCTCTATGGCAAGATCCAGCACATTACTCAAGCTCTTCAGAAGATCTGTTCTCCTGGGAAAGCTCCTCTGCCTTCTCTAGGCGATGTGTGCCCATTAGAACCCAGTCTACCATGAGCTCACATCGTCCATGTCTGTGTCATTGTCCCTCCCACAGAAAGTCTCTAAAAATGGAAGTAGATCACCTCACTCTGTCACCCACGGCAAGATTAGGCAGGACCTGGAGGCAGGGAGTGTTTCATAAATGAATGACAGACAGAATCTATGATCGTGGGTTCTAGATTTGAACCCAGACCCTTCAGGCACCAAAATCATGTTCCATCCCCCACAGATGTCCACCCTGACCAGGAAGGTGACCTCCAAAGGCAGAGCTCTGTTGAGGTGGAAGTCTTGGGGCACAGGGGGCCCTAGCTTCGAACAAACCTAGCACCTAGAGGTCTCCAACCAGGACCTAGTCTCCTTCTCTCTACTCACTGGCCTTTGCTTCTGCAAAAGCAGAACAGAACCCAGCAAGGTCACCCTCATCAGATACAGTCTTTAGCTTCCGAGCTTATAGACAAAGGGCAGGGGCTCCTCCCTTGCCTACCAGCAGCAGAGGACAATCACAACAATCTGCCTGCATCTCATGGGATCCACCAGGACACAGCAGTGAAGGTCAGGACAAAGGGTCTGAACCGGTACAGCGGTCAGCACAACCCTAGAGTGCCCACTCAGGCCACAGATTTTTAGAATAGGATATTCATGTTCTTTTTCAGAATCAGTATATCATTCCCTCAAAACATCTGGATTTTGAGACTGGGGAGGGGGTACCCCAGTGATTGAGCATCTGCTAAGTGTGCAAGAGGAACTATTCAATGCAGCACACACTCAAAACAAATCTAGATTTTGATCCACTTCCCAGTGTCTTGCCTTGTCCCCACTATCCCATCCTATGAGCCCCGGTACCACAAAGAGCTTCTCTACCAGACTGTATCATGGCTGCTAATGGTTCCATGGAAAGCATTTGTAACTGGGGCAGTTATGCTCTGGGAAGTCCCTTTGAGCAAGGAGAGATACAAAGCGGATGGGCTCTGAGCCCTTTCACACACACCCCTATTCAAAAGCTCCCCATGACTTCCTGTTCCTCTTAGGGTGGGTTCGAGGTCTTCCCATGGCATTAAAGTTTTGCTCTTCTCAACTCCTCCCACCAAAGAAGTGTGTCCCCATAAGCTGATAGAGAGCCTGACAGCTATGAAGAGGGACCCAGTGCGTGTTTCCGATGACACAAGAGCTGTGAGAAATAGACAGGCCTGACTTGGGGACAGGGAAGGAGAGCCATCTAAGCCAAGACCTGAAAGATAGGCAGAGGTTGCTCAAATGGGCAGGCCAAAGTATGAACAGGAGACATGAGGGACAAGGGGCAAGGGGGACCCTTGGCAGAAGGCACAATAGGAACAAGGGCCAAAAGCAGTGGTTCTCAACCTTCCTAATCCTTTAACACACTTTGATATACTTTAATACAGTACCTCATTTTATGGTGACCCCCAACCATAATATTATTTTTGTTGCTACTTCATAACTGTACTTTTACTACTGTTATGAATCATAATGTAAATATCTGCTATGCAGGATATCTGATGTCCGACTCCTGTGAAAGGGTTGTTCAACTCCCAAAAGGGTCATGACTCACGGGTTGAGAACCAAGAAGAAGACACAGCTGAGGAAATACTGCTCTCTATGGACAGACAGACATGAGATTATCAGGGGGCCTTCACTGTGATCGTATCTTGGGACAGAGACAGTTGGGGCTCATTGGAATCGGTTCCAGACCCTCTTGAGACTATCCTTTATTTTCTGTTTATCTCCACAATCTAAATCCTTCTATCTAATATTTCCTGCCGCTGGCACTCAAAACTCTGGGGAGCTGTGGGTTTGGTGGGTAAACGCCCCGCACCAGGGTGTCCTAGCAAACAGACGTCCTTGTTCCGGGGACTCAGCAGTCATGTAAAACTGAGGCTACAATAGAAGAAGGCACAGCTTCAGATGAGGAGACTGTTGGATCATGGAGCCTCGGATGGCAAGGAGGCAGAAAGGGCTGTGTGTTGGTGTGGTGTGAACACCGGGAGGCACTGCAGGACAGCACTCCTCACCAGACAGAGGGCTAGACAAGTCCAAGCTTAGTTCCACCCACTCTCAGACTCAGACACATGCACTGACAGATAGGCTGTTCAGTATGAGTCTACCATTTACTGGATGTGTATCTTAGGGCAAGTTTCATTTTGCCTTATTTTGGGTTTTGTTTTTTGGGTTTTTTTTTCGGGGGGGGGGGATTTGGTGGGATTCGTTTGGTTTGGGGTTTGAGTTTGGGTTTTTTTTGTTTTGTTTTGTTTTTTGAGACAGGGTTTCTCTGTGTGACCCTGGCTGTACTGGAACTCACTCTGTAGACCAGGCTAGCCTCAAAATCAAGAGATCCACCTACTCTGCTTCCTGAGTGCTGGAGTGCTGGGATTAAAGGAGTTCACCACCACTGCCCGGCTGGTTTTGGGTTTTGTTTGAGGTTTTTGTGATGCAGGTAAACAAGTCCTTTACTTAGTACTTAGGCAAGTTCTTTATAGTCTTTATCGCTCAATTGTCCCATTTGTAAAGTAGGTGTAACGGCATAATTCCTTCGTGTCTGCCATGAGCATTTGAAAGATGATTGACCATAAAGTGCCTGGATGGTTGGCTAGCACCCAGCAAAAGTTCAACAAATGTCCCCTGGCCTAGGTATGGGCACACATTCCAGACACCTAATCACCACTTAAAGATCAGTGAACTGGGGCTGTTAGAAGTGTCACAATTTTAGCATGAGTAGCATGGGCATCTTCTACCTAAAAATAACCTGGAACTTATAGAAGCCCAGAAGATCCATGGGATGATGCTCTGAATGGCTCTAAGTGGAGAATGATTATTCTGTGGGAGCCCCAGCCCTTCTTGGGGGTCTTGAAGTCACTGTGGTCCAAGATCCTTCCCCAATCTGACTGTAGCCCCCACCCACCCACCTTAGAATTTTTACCTGCTACTTACCACCTCTACACATGTTCCTGGCCCAACTTATCTAGTCCCTAAAACCATTTCAAGGACAAAAAGAGGCTCTTCGGGGGAAATTAGTCCTGCTTCTTGGCAATAACACTGATCTCCTCTCCCTTCTCCCTTCTGGGGCTCACAGGCCTCCCTTCCTACCAGTCCTGGCTCTTGGGCCCTGGGTTACCCTTGCCCTTTGGATCTTCTACTCAAGTGGTATTGGCCCCTCATAAGGCCCTGAGCTGACCCCCCTTGATCCTGATGGCATTGCCCAGGGCCCCAGGGCACAAAGAAGTAGTTAACATAGTTAATAAGAGCCCACACTCACTAACAGTTGTCCTCTGTACAGAGGAATAAAAACTGAGAACCACAGAGGGGCAATGCCTTTCTTACAGCCACATACAGTGAGGACAGAGACAGGATTTTTATTTGGAGGCTTGCTGGCCTCTGTCTCCACAATGTACCCTCCTAAAGTAGACTCTACTGATACTGGAGTTTGGGGAGTCTAACTTAGGTGGGACTCTGTGACTGTAAGAAGCAGCAAGCCAGCAAGGGAGTCCCAGAGAAAGGTTTTGTTTTTCTTTTTTCTTTTCTTTTTTTTTTTAAAGATGATGACCTCAAGTAGTGGCTTTGTGGATGACAGAGAAGTAACAGAGGCCAGCGCCATTGTCACTCAGGCACCTGTGTGTTCCCTGCCCTCCAGACCTGCTCTGTAGCCCAGGACGGAGTAGCATGTGCAATGTTCCTTCCATGGCCTCAGCACCACCAATCAGGTCTGCAGATGTAGAGGGGCCTAGAGAGTGAAGGGCCGAGGACAGTTAGCACCCAGATATCCTTCCCCTTGATCCCCAGGCCATTCTACCCTCAAACCATGTGAGACCCGGGGGAGCGAAGAATGAGACATACCATGATTCCTCTTGGATATGCAAACAGCAGTCAGTGGCCATCTGGCTTCTGACTTCTCCTGGGAGACCAGGCAGCCCCTAGAGTAGGCTCAAAGCAGCAGGGACCATGTGATGGGTGGTCAGAATCCTATCATCCTAGGTCTAGCCCACAGGAGTTAGTGCCCAGCCTTCTTCAGAACCACCCTCTATGGAAGAAGCAGCAAGGAGCTGTCCCTCCCCTCAAGGACTGGGAAATCTGACTCATGGTATGCCAAAGCACAATCAAGTCAGAGTCTTCATGTTTCTCTGTGACCCTCAGACCATAACATGGCCAGGCCCCTGGCATTTTCCAACCCCACAGACTCTCCCTGCCTCAGTCCTTAGCCTGCGGCCTAACCCCTGCATGACTTGCCAGGCACACCTGGGCTTGGATCAAGTGTGAGATCGATACTCAGAGGTGCCAGGATTGTGGAAAGAAGATAGTATTGGCAGGAACAGCAGATGATCCTTGACAATGTCTAGGAAGCCAGGAAGTGGTGGCACATGCCCTGATTCCCAATACTTGGGAGGCAGAGGCAAGTGGATCTCTGTGAGTTTGGAGTCAGCCTGGTCTATGTAGTGAGTTCTAGGCCAGCCAAGGGTTACATAGTAAGACCCTTTCTCAAAAAGAAGGAGGAGCCGGGCGGTGGTGGCGCA